AGTATGTTATCATGGAATATTCAAGACGGGTGTTATGCTATACTGCGGCTTGCAAGTCTACGAAAACCTCTTAGTACTGTATCAAAAGAATACATGAACTTGTACCCGTTAGCATGGTGAAAAGAAGTTATTGACACAAGTATATTAAAGACAGCTAAGAGAAAGAGTGTCTAAATAGACACATAGTACGCCACTAAAATAGTAACAACAAAAATGCTTTGTCGGCTTGGTTTAGTCGCCCCCGGTTTCTAAAACACTGACGCCCGATTTCTGAAACACTGATCAACGTAGATGTCAACTAATCAGCTGTCAAATGAATTTCAAAATTCATTTTAGTTGCCAAAAGGATGTTTAAACTCTTTGAATTGATCATTCTCATCATAAAGAAGATCATTCTGGTCAATTCAGAGAGTTTAACCATCCTTTTGGTACTTAAATTGTAATGGGGGTGATTATCGTAGAAGATAACTAATCAGCTGTCAAATGGCTTTTCAAATATCATTCGAGTTGCCAAAAGGATGGCTAAACTCTGTGAATTAATCAGAATGATCTTGATGATCAATTCTAATAGTTTATCCAGTGTTTCATGATCTGTGTTTCAGAAACCGGGCGTTAGTCATTATTCCGGATTAATAGTTCATATTTTCCCCAACCGCATTCACCGATGGACATTCACACCATCAGGAGTATAACCAAAGCATTACCAGCCAATCCTAAATATGCGGTAGTAGTATTTTTACAATCAATAACTTTAATGCGCTTCTGTGCTGAATAAAGATATATGAATTACTTGAAATGAATTTGTCACATTTGATATATATTGGGCGTGATGTTTATTTAGTAAACTTTACTGATATTAATTCTATTGCATAGAATAGAAATTTTTCTTTATTTAGAAATGTTTTAAGTTAAATGCATTAGTATAATTCTGTTGGTAGCTCTAAATATTTATTAATAATGATCTGTATGTGTTTATTTGGTAAGCATAAATAAATAAACAACTAATTTTGTGGACCTACTCATAGGGCATTACCTAAGCATTGGCTTGTTTTAACCGCTGTACGCTCATTCCGGTGTCAGGTTGCGCCGCCGGCTAATGTTCACACTTCGACACAACCCAATTTCGAAATTGGGCCCTCAACACCCCGTGACGACCTAGTCGGCCGCTAATTGCGAAAGAGACGCGCGCGCGTCACAACCGCTTATTAGTCTAGTTCAGCGCCGCTAGCGAACGTCGTCGTGACGATTCTAACACTCGAGTGTCCGAGATGAAAATCCTACACGACACAATTTCGCGACCGATGCAGGTACACATATGAAGAATTCAAACGAATTAAATGAAACTATTTCATGGAGTTTTAAGGCCTTTTAATTTTGTTTTGAGTGCTAACCGCCACCCATAGACATTTTCAACCCGTAGTGTTGCATATGCGTTGCCACCTTTTAATAAAGAGGGACTAGGATACCTCACAAACGTGACAAAACGTAGAAGTATAACACTGACACTTCACGGCGGTCTTATGTGAGATCGTGGTACTTCCCAGGACGGACTCGCCCATTCTTGCAACAGCGAACTGCATGGCCCTACCAATCAATTCAAATCTACGAATCAATTTAAATGAAATGTTTCATACATAATCATCATCTATCGGGTATGCATTACTAGCTGTTTTATTTATAGAAAAAACTGCAACATTGTTACATCCAGTCGTCTAAATTAGTTCTTGATCAACGATCGATCATGGATCGGGATATAAATGCTCCAATAGGACTGCAATCAAATAACTCCACCACTTTGGGCCCGTATTTGTATAACACATTACGTAATGTTCACATTCCCGCCCACAACCGACAACAAAGATGGCGCCGTCCGTAGCACGTAACTAGTGGTTAATTGGACTCCGTTCCAATTAATGCGGAGTGCGGGCTGGCTCCGATGGAATTGGGCCGGGCAGAGCTCGTCGGTTCCCGGGTGAACGGCCGCCGAGGCCGGTGAAAGCCGGGATGGATATGGGTCAGGTGGCCGTTCAACCTCTCCCCCCCTCCATCCCCCCTACACTACTGAATTGCCCACGACCCCTCCCAACCACGACGTGAGCCCATCTCCGGTGGACTGAGCGGTGACGTAGGTCGGACGCCTGTGACGCGCTGGCGGCGACTTTTTACGACGTTCCGATGGGTTCTTATATTCACGAGCGTGCGACGTTATTCGCAACGGCCGATTCGACGGATCGATGTTTTTATATCGGGAACGGGGGGAGTAATTAAATTCGAGAGATTTAAAATTCCGTATGTCACTATTTTCGACAATTCATTTCGATGAGCATTTATAATAAGAGGCGTTTACTAAGAGGGAAAAGTTTAAATATTTACAAACGCGACTTTCTAAACTACAGTTAAATTTTTTTAACAAATGGCAAGAAATAAAACGGTTTGATAGGTTATACGGTTGCTCAAAAGCATCAAAACACGAATTTCCAACTGGTCGTAAACTAAGCTAGGCGATAAAATATTTATTCGGAATAATTTTAACAGGCAATAAGAACCAGCCAGTCCGTCCGTCGCTAGTCAAATGAAAACGTCGATAGATAGAAAAGTGTTAATAAAGAACAGCGTTGTTTTGTCGGACGCCCGCATACGATATGTCCGAGTGATATTTGTGCGGAATCGTGTTTCGCCGTTAGCGGCCGCATAATTTAGCGTTTCGCGGAGGGTTTTGTGTAACAGTACACGGAGCTGATAACGGTCTGCGCTATCATTCATTTGACGCTCTATTCCGACCCGAACGGCGCGGGCGCGCGGTCCCAGCGAGATAGAATCTCCGGAGCGCCCGAAAACATGAGGGCAATCATGCGCTATCGATAAGCTGGAATAACGGCCGTTTGTTTGTAATGTGGCTATTTATTCAGTAAGACGGTGGATGAAGAACGTGCTTTTAATTGATCCCACGCGGAGCACTTTAAACAGACAAAACGAAAAGGTACGATGACTGAAAAGTACGGATAGGGGGAAATATTTGGAATAAGGCTATTTTGAATGCATAGATAAAAGAACAACTGGTACAAGATTGCGAGTTCACGTGTGATTCCGATGGCGGCCCTGATTACCAACTGGAGTGAACTCGGGAGAAGACTCGGAATGAGCTCAGGCGTAGAGTAGAGAGGCATCGGTGCGTTCTCCTTAGTGAGCTGAGACGCAGTGTAGAAGGGCACCGGTGCGTTCCGATGAAGAACCGATTGGTGTTTACCGAGAACAACTCTCACATAACCATATAAAATTTTATCGAAGTCTAACGGCAGTGTTATCTTACATAAGCATAACTAAAATTATTGTACCTTTTGGAACCGAATTAAGACTCTAGTGCCCATTTTCACCATCGATCCCTAACTTTAGGTGAAGCGGTGGTGAAAACGAAACTAAGCACATAATTTTTTTTTTGGTGTCCCTTAAAGTTAGGTTAAAGTAAAGTTTTGAGCCTTAGAAAACTCTACTAAACGTTCACGTTAACGAAAAACAATGTCAACAAAAATTTATATTAATATTTCTTGATATAAATATATTACACATTTGTAAACTATCGCTTTATAAATTTCTACATAAAAAATAATTAGATCAACAAAAACCCGTTCAACGCGTAACGGTCCAAATCAAAATTCACACCGTAAAGACGAGGTAATAAATTATTAAAAAAAAAAAAAAAAAAAAAAACAAAAAGGTGTATATTTCAAACATTTAAATACTAAATTACTACGAAAATTTAACATAAATGTCAAAAGTGACAAACTACAAAGCAGCATTTAATAAAAATATACGAAACTCGTCAAGTGATCTAATAAATGGAGATAGATAAACTATTCGCTGGAAATATTAGCTTCGCGTGAGTCATATATTCATTTCGACCAAATAGACTCCTTATTATTTAGTTGCCCACCAATTTCACGTTCCAGCGTAAATGCAGTTCATATGATGGAAAGTGATATCCGCCGTCCATGGTTACATGATTTGCAACACCCGTAGGGTTGCAGATGCGTTGCCACCTTATAATAAATTTAGCCCCACTATACGAAATGGGGTCACGTGGTGGTCTACGCCCTAATACCCTCTGCCCAGCAGTGGGACATATACAGGCTGTTACTTTACTTTTTTACGTATAGTAAATACGAAAGCACATGAAGACGTGTAATATATTTATTTTCGTAAATATGTACGTATATTTCTTTGGCATACTCAGTAGCTTAAACCGCTTTGGTACTTTAAGTATGAGGTGTCATCTGATTCTCTGCGGTCGTTAGAGTTACCTAGGTGACAATATTTTTAAACAGTTTGCGGTCGAGTTTTTGTCTTAAATGATGGACACATATTCTTCTTTTACATCAGTGACGACTCATCGGTGAAGCGAGTTCTGCGAAACTATAAGATTGACAAAGATATCGTGTTAAAAAAAATATGAATGATTTATAAGATTATTATTCATATATTTTTAATATCAGTTGCATAATGCATGGGGCGCAAAATTGGTTTTTTTTTTTATGCAAATGTAAGTCGAATTGAGCAATTCATTTAGCTGGGGCACAGAAAGAACGTTCGATACATTTAAAATGATATGCAAATTTATAAAAATAAAACAGGATAAACGTTGAACTAAATAATTTATAATTTATTTCCACCGTTCCGTTCCTGACAACCCATAAATAAATTCAAAATTTATCCTCAGTTAGTCAGTATTATGCAAATTAGTAATTTGAATAATATTGTATATTTACGTAAATTCAATTTAATTTGGATTTGTATATTAGTTGATTTGTTGGCATACGCAGCTCGTCTCCGAAACGTGGGAAATACCAAAATAAATAAATGAAAACAACAGTACATCAAGTGAACTTTGAAAGTGGCCTTTTACGACCTTCCATCTGTTCACACCCGGATCCAGAATAATTATCAGCATCGCACCAATACCGGTGTGAGAATCGAATCCATGACCTCAGGCACCGAAGCCAAAAATGATCAAAAGACATTTCGCGACTAAGAGCCTCGTTATAACGATACATTACTTATTAAATCAAGACGTTTCGCAGCCAACTGTCACGAGTGTAGAGAGACAAATTCAACTCCATTTGGAACTGTTCCGGGCCGCGATGAAACTTAATCCACGCCAGCAACGCGCCGGAAACCCCGTGCAGTGGGTGCCCCACCACCCCGTTCCTTAATTGAACAGGGCCTCAAGGACAAGCGCCAACTTTCACCCGCCGCCAACTCCTCCGAGAGAAAGCTCGTCCGCTCGGGCCAGTTTTTTTTTCCCATCCTACGGTCCTCTGCGTCGCAACATAATGCCAGCCCGCTTATCTGTACGGGTGCTTATTAATGTTGGCATCAATCATAGAAAGTTATCAGTCTCCGGGGCCGCGAATAAAAGCATTCCCATGTATGATTCCGATTGTAACTTTCTCCAACTGTACTTCGATATTTGTTTTCTGAATACAATAGCGAATAATTGAAGCTCTGTTGCAACACGGAGATATGTTATGGAGGGGGTGTAATTCATTTTCAACTTTTAATACACCGCTGCGGGAAATATAAAACAATTACTTATATGATACCGTACTTTTGAGATGTGTTACATCTTTCTCAATACCGTTACAAATACAAAAAAGTTCGAAGATGCGACTAAAATCATGATCGAGTTACCTTTGATTGCGCCGAAGTGAATTTGTTTGAAACAAAAGAGATACCATCGTAGGGGAGGACTGATTTGTGATCAAAGGGCTCAGATAAATCGTTTTCCATACGGAACATCGATAAGAATACGAACACACGACGGCTGTTCCGCGCTCGCCTTGTTTTTTCATTCGAAATTTTTCAACTGATGCTTATCGAATCACGGTATACACACGACTTCATTAAGTGAACAAAAAAACAGGCTCGTTAGGTAGGAATGGTTTGATACAAAGGGGTTTGTTTGGTTCAGTGTTGTCATTGTCTGTATCGAGACAAAGTGAGGTATTGTCTGTTCGGAAAAATATAATACCTGCGGTTTCGTTGATGCATTTATTGTTCATAAAGGGTTATACACATTTTTTTTCTTTCTGACCTATGGTAATAACTCTAATTTTGCATATTATAAACATTTGATGGGAAATTTAAGACGTCCTCAGCACGGACTTCGAATGTGAAAACCAAATGTAATTAGAAAGAAAGAAAGAAAGAAAGAAGAAATATTTATTCGGCGCATTACATTACAGGAAAAAAAAAAGAAATAACAAATAAAAAGGTCTCCGCTCAGTATATATTATAATTATTTGGAGTTGTCTTTGTTTTGACCTGAACTAATCACAATCAATAATCAAAAACATCACAAAAAGTACCATATTGTCATACTTTTTGTGATGTTGATTTAAATTGCAAAACATTTCTTTTTTTCAATAATTAGTGGAGTGCCAATAATACGTGCATGTATAGCAGCAGTTACAAGCTAGCCAGTTGCAAGCTGATGACCAAACATAGTTCGCACAACGGATTATAACCACAAGTTATTTTTTCTTTCCATTGGTTATTTAATAAACTTATTCAGTTATTGAACGGGTACTTAAAGAATTTATTTATATAATAAGTACTAGTAGCTACTTTTAAAAGATTAAGGATAAATCTCAACTTATCTGACAGCACGCTAATGTACTTTTTAAACATTTTTGTAACGTTAATTTAGGGTTGGAATCACTAAGTTAATTATCAGAAATCTTTTGCAGGTTATACGCGCCTTCTGTGGTTGGGATTGCAGCAAATACCGATACGTTATGGTCAACAAAACTACAAGAAAACACCGTTATGTTTCCTTGTAGTGACCAAGCCTGACGTAATTGAGATGATTTGAAGATTATAAAAAAAAATCATATCATCAATCATAAATAGCTCATAGTAACACCGGTCACGCTTCAGAATAAGCAAACGAGGAGAGAAACAATAATAACTGTCATTATGAAATTTCTACATTTGCCGCGCTCCTTGAAACGTGGCTGCGGCGAGTTGTTCACAGTTCAATTAGTTGAGTTTTAACTAAATAGAGCGTGGCGCGTGCATTTTAATGATTCCACTCATGCAAATCAAGAAGTATTAGCCTCAGTTGCGGATTTCAAACAAAATTAGCGAATCATAAAGAAACTGATTGACTTTCGCTTCAATTGAGGCACATTGTTCCATAATTTAACTGATCCTCTCAAACAGCAACGGCAAGTATAAAAAGATACATATAAGAAAAAATGTGTACTTAAGTACGCACACGCAAGAAATTATGCTTCTTTAGCGTGACAAAAGAAAAATAAGTAAAAATTTTATCCCTTGAGCCAGTGCTATTTGTTTGTGAAAAATTCATTAAATGCTATTGATAAACCGGTTTAATTAAATAACTTGGAATTATAGGTTAATGTCAAAAAGTTGTTATTGGTTGCCAAATGTCATGTTAATATCGTGAAGTCAATCGAGTTGGTCGCTTTGCAATCAAAACGTCCCGCAACTTAAAAGTTTTACTCTCATTTTTTTTTTCAAAACAAATCTTAAAACAAAAGCAAACGTTAAGAAATATAAGCAGATGCGTATTCCCAGAAGTATCGTTTTGTAAACATCCACATTACTCCTTCACATTTCTGTTATAATTGCAAGGGCAATTAGTTCTCTTAACATCAATTACGGTCGACACTAGCCCCGCAATTCCACGTTGTCCCGTGGCAATTATCTTCATAAAAATATGCAAACAATAGGCACGCAAGTCTGGGCACGTCACGGTGACCAGCTGCACCAACCATGTCGCCACTAATTGCCACACATTACGATTAAACTGCAAATGCCAAGAGACACTTTTGCGTCGTTGAGTACGGCTACAGCTGTCTTTCATTACAACTTATAAGCACAAGACGCGTCCATCTTTAATTCTTTTTGGGGTTCCGTAAACGGGCTAGGACAGTTGAAATTTTCACAGATGATGCATTTCTGTTGGCGCAATAACAATAAATACTAAAAAATAAAATAAAAAAAGATTTAAGTTGGAGCATCTCATACGTAACACATGATTTTTTTGCCATTTTTATAGATATTGGTACGGAACCATTCGTTCGCGAGTCGGACTCGTACTTGGCCGGTTTTTTCATTCCTTTGTGTGTGTTGTTTCTGTTCACTAACCTAGAGATTAAAGTGATTTTTGTACAGGTGTATAGAGTTTATCGACTGCTGTTCGGGACTATTGGACCCTCGCTGTTCCAATTAACATTTTACGTATTGTAAAAGCGGCATGTTTCAAACTGAATTCTAATAAATACTTAATGGCACGGTGCAGTTAAATTAGCTTCTGGATAGAGCCCGTTCCAATCGCAAAGGCCGAATATACTTTTACAGCTCTGATGTTGTAAAAGCTCTTTTCCGGTGGTGTTCACTATTACTGATCCATAAAAAATCAATTTATTTGTATGTTTCGAATTTCTTATACTTTCTTGCTTCATGATTTCATTGGACAGAATGAGAGGTTACAATTTGCGGGTGGTTGTATTATTGAGACTTCAGTATTATAAAGATCTAGCTTTTCGCCCACGGCTTCGCTCGCGTTGAAGCCTTTAAATAAATATCTTTCTTTAAAATAAATGTATATTTTAAATTTTTTTCCAATTAAATAGCCTATGTCCTTTCTCAGGCTCTAAACTATCTGTGTACCAAAATTCATTTAAATCGGTTCAGTACTTTTGGCGTGAAAGCTAGACAGACAGACAGAGTTACCTTCGCATTTATAATATTAGTATGGATTATGAACAACACATATTTAGATAAGGTTAAGAAGCTGTGGTGATCGAGCGGGGTTTTTTTTTTATTTTAAATCACTTATCGACTCGACCTAGTTATTACTCTGATATGAGTAAATTTATTAATTTATAGAATGTCACACAACAACTAAATAAAATACCCGTTGTCAACGCTAAAGGAATCGAACTATTGGACTTCTCGGCACAGCAGGCTCGTCGGAAGAAAATCATGAAAGAAAATCGATCGTCCAATCCGATTTTATGGTCAACACTGGCAACACTCAAACGTCAAGGGGCAAGAGCAATCACAAAGCGTTTACGTGCAAATGGCACACTCTCAATAGAAATATGATGAATAAATAATATCGTTGCGATAGACGTACGTACGTCTGTCGTGGCTGTAAAGTATCGATATTGCCTCGTCGCTCCCAGCTAAGCATTAAGACAGACTATGACCGATGTAGCCGCGGTAGAACCTCCCTAACAAAGCACCCATGCACTGAAAATCAGCGCTGTTTTGGGGTTTTGACTTTGAATGCTGACCTGCTGACCTAATTTGTAGCGTAATAGGTAGGGGGTACAATTCATTATTGTCATTAAAAATTATAATTTTGCATTGCTTTTCTTTTATTGCAATTTGTTTGCATTACACATTTTTTCTCTTTTTTGTTAAACTTACTGTTTTTGCTGTGTGCGTCCTTTTTCTAGATAAATAAATATATTTACTTTTTTCTTTCTTACCACAGGCTCTTATATTATCTTCACTCGGGCGTAGGAATAATGTCGTGTCTTCCTGTATTTATTTGTGACCGATTTTGTGTTTGCGATCTTTAGTTGTGAAGTTGTGAAGCGAGCGAGCAAGCTTTCTGATATTGAGTACCGCCGCCCTTGACAACCTTTAAAAGTGGGCTTCGACTACCTTACTGACTACAGAAAACGCAAAATTATAACACTTCACGCCGGTCTTCTGAGACCGTGGTACTTCCCCGGACGAGTTCGCCCATTATTGCAACGGCAGAAGCTGTTGCGTGGCCCTACTAAAGTAAAATTTAAGGTAATGAAGCTTCACATGATCCTGAACATAAGCATAATGCGACATTGACAGACAAACCCTCGCGTCCTGTCTTACGTACGCCGGGTGAAATTGTTAGAAAGTTAATAATCGACCGCTTAGCGAAGTCGAGAGCTAGAAAGCGTTCGAGAGACCAGACCGGCGCGGTGTCGGCGTCGTCGCGAACGTCCGGCGAATTAAGCGACAATCTAAAAGCAATTTGAATGTTATTAAGTGTAAGTGAGGACGTAACGGGGTCGGGGCGAAATTGCTACGTTTTCATTTGTAAACAAATTCACGCAATTTTCTTTTGTCGACGTCAATTCTCAGGCGATTTCTCACTCCATTCGAGAGAAATATTTTGGTTGTTTTC